CAGACATTCAGACCGTTGTTCTTTCTAATATCATTAGTCACTGTTGTTTATGTGAATCGTTGAAACTTGTCATACTGCAGACTGCTGATGCTGCTGCTCAATTTTCCGTCTTCTCAGCACTAAATGTGGCGGCTGTTTGTTTGCTCACTTTATGGTAGGTAAGACGGTTATCTGTAATGCTAAGTATATATCGATGTAATCTAATAGTCACTTAGTACCTAAAAGTGTGGCATTATCTTAAGAAGCATAATGGGTAGTGGGAGAGGAGGAAGTTGGAAAGTAAAAAGCGAATTAAGAGAGGCTGAGTTGTTTGGTCTAGTTTTTTGTTGATGTTAAAAATTCTTTTTTGCACCTACCATTTCAGCGCCATTTTGAATGTCTACTTACACGTGTATAACAGAGTCATACAGTTGTAATATTGTTACTTCCTTGAGTTTTTTTTTGAACAAAAAATTTTGTTTTTCAGAATGTTTTTTTTTCTTGGGTACTTCGGGAGAAGTTTGTGGTGGAAAATTATGCTGATTTATATTTGTTTTAACAATTCTTCTGTCAAGTTGTGTATACAGCAATTTTTTTTTAAAGAGAGAAAGTCTTGTGATACTTATTTGTTCCATTTGTTTGCAACATTCGTTTGTTACAGTGTGTGTTGTTTGTATAATCTTGTGCTTAATTCGTGGAGAGTTGTGCTTATAGTCTTGGGCGTAACTGAAACTATTATAGCCCTGCAATGTCTGTATATAGGCCACAATGCGAAGTTGATGTTGTGAATAATGGTGTTTTATTAAATTCGTTCCGGCTTATCGAACTGGTATGATTTTACTGTTTTTCTTTTGATTCACTTACCACATTTGAAAGTAGTTTTGAGGCAGAAGTGTGAAGTGCTGAAATTAAATTTTATTAATTAAGGCTCTTATTTGGTTTTATGGGTTTTACATTTTCCGGAAACATTGAGGTACTGGAATTGTCTTGAAAAGGAGGTTTTGCACTGACCAGTTATGACTTTGTTGTGATTAATTAGCGGAAGGTGGCAGAACTGATGGACAGCCGTTTAGAAATTTAACATGGAGATTTTGATCAAATTACGAAAATTTTTTTTTATTTCTTAGCTTCTATGAAATATTAAAAGAAAAAAAGTGTTAAAGGATGGACTTTTCTTGCATTTTTGAGAGGGAATATTTTTGGCTAATTGATAGAACGAAGAATTATTTTTCTTATACGTCACGAGATTTTCTTTGCAAAGCATAGTTCATGGAACTGTTATCACCTTTTGGAAGTGTTTGAGTACAACAACATTTTCAGCCTCTGTTAAATTGGTCGAACACAGGAAACAGTGGGAAGTAATGTTCAGAATGGAATTTTTGTTAGTCTGATCGTCCAGTTTTCCCTCATTTTTTTAATGATTTTTTATTTGGGTCGGCATTTTTTCTTAATTTTTTGCTTATTTTTTGCTGCCTCATTGTCTTAAGTGGTACTTAAGGCCAAGTAAAAACTAGTGCGTTAGGGTAGAAAAAAAAAGAAGGAACATCTGCGCTAAGATTTCTTTGAAAAGTAAAGTTATATTGTCGTTTTAGTTTCTTATAAGAGGTTTATTTGAACATAGTTTTTAGGTTCTCTAATTTGTAAATTCTACCAGTTTTTTTCGAAATATCGGTTTTTTGGTTTTTCATTTTCATTTTATGTGTTATCATTGGGTTTTTAACTTGTAATTCTTCTTGCCTGAGTTTACTTCTCCTCTGATTAAAATTCCTTTTCAGAGCCGGGCATCAGATACATTTACACTTTCTTTTAACAATAGATTAAATGAATCGTATTCAGTAACCTTTCATTTAAACAGGTTTGTAACTTTTCTTTCTTGGAAAGGTGTTGGTTTACTGTTTTTATTTTCTGTGTTCTCTGAGTTACTAAAGTGACTTCTTGATATTTATCACTGAAATATGGCTGTACTGGTAAGATTTAGTTATTTTTATTTTAACAGATAAATCCGTTCGTAAATTTTTAAATTTCTAGTACTTATTTTTTTCATTTTTTGCTAATTCTTTTTACTTATATCTCCAATTGCAGATACGCTGTGCCACCACAAGAATTCTCTAACTATGTTAGTTTCTTATCTTTATTTCGGTGTTAATCTGTGTGCCGCATCTTCGCGGGTATTTTAGAGAGCTGTTGGCTTTTACACGAAAGACGGTTATGTGCCAATATTGTTTTGTTTATTTTTATAGGGATTTATTGATTGTCATTTTTCTGGCGTTGCTGATGGCTGTTATAGCTCTTTGTCTACATGCTCAATGTCTCAGCTGGGGTAAGTTCAAATGAAGAAGCAGGGTTCAAGGCTAGGTATTTTTTATAATGGTACATGTTGGAATACTTGGTGAAATTCAAGCAGGGTTTTTTAATGAAATAATTTGCAAGGACTATTAAAGGGCTGTAGAATATTAATGGGTTGGAAGTTTATCAGCTTTTGGACGGTTAAAATTCTATTCTGCTGAAGACTGACGAAAACTTAGTTTAAAAATGATTCATTAGTAGTTTTCGGTATTCTTTCTTGTGCCTTTCTTTTTAATACTTTGTATTTCTTAATATTTTGTAGAGCTCTTTTGTCAGTACGAGGTAAACGTTTTGTTTTGGCTGCAGAAAACAATGGTTCCTTTTATCTTTTGCCGTACACATCGGACTCCTGTCGTAAGTTTTCACCCTCACTTTGTCAGTAATTTTTAAGGTAATTTTAAAGCCATTTTTTGAACCGTGTTTCATTTGTTTCATTGAAGATTCGGCCTTTTCTTCCTGGAATCCCTATGTATTTATGAGCAGTTAATGCTTAATATTTTTTTCTAGATTTTGGCGATAGGCAGAAACGTGAAGCAACTGGTGAGCAGCCGTCGTACTACTCTAAATATTTGGATGGAAAGTGGCGGCATGTGGAATTTGCTTTTGTGGCTGATTATTCTGTGGTTTGACTTTTTCAGTTGTTGCCAAATTTCCTTTTTGCTCAATAGAAGTGAAATTATACGCTACATTATTTTTAGGACTAATTTCTTAACTCGCTGGGTAGTTTTTTCCTTTTTTTCAATGCAGGATTTCGTCATTGACAGCTTTGACTTTCTGATAGTTGTTTTTGGTAAGCATGTCTCCGATTGCTGAGCTTTGGACATCCTGTAGAAGTCTTACTGCTTGACTTTGCGAGCAGTATTTAGAGGTAGATATAGAGCGGAATGAAATTTGTTGTCAGCGTTTGAGAAGATACCGTCTGTTTATGAATAAGAAAATAAATTTTACTGTGGGTATTAACTAGAAATTCAGATGCAAGGGAGACGAAAAGAAAAAACGTGAGGTGGCGAGAAAGTTGGATATGCAATTATAGCACAGCCGAAATTCTTTGGATGATATATATGAGATTGAAGCCAACTGCAACAATTGAGGAGTTAGGTACAACTTGAGATCTGGGTAACTGAGCTTGTACAGAAGTTGAAAGAGAATTGTAGAGCGTGAATAGTCGTGACACATTTTTCAGTCAATAAATTAAGTAAAACCGTATTTAACACATACGGGGTTTTCCGAATAGTTCAAACAAATTTGAAATCAGAAAGTTATGAAAGCTTGAGTGTTTGCTATTTAATAGACGACTCCTTAGTCGAATCCTGGACTCTGCCCTTCAATTCCACAATGTGGTTGTTAATTTTATGTTTGGTCGGTGTTGTTTGGTTTAGATCTTATAATTGTCTGTTTCTTGTGGTGTGTCTTTATTAATACTTTCATTTTGCTATATTCATGTCTCGACTCTCCACTGTCTTTTGAAAGTTGCGTTTTTGCTTCATTTTTGAGAAAATCTGTTTGTTGTAGTCTGCAAAAGGCAGCTTTTTCAACATTATTTTTTTTTGACAATTTTTTATTTTTTGGTCATATTTTTAGTTTTGAAATTTCACATGCCTAATTTTTTTATCAAATGCTCTATTTTGCAGTATGAGAAATACGAAAAAAATGCAACTGCGGTCCACGAGCGGATGCAAACTATTGCTAACCATGTGAATGCCGTAAGTTGTTTCGGTATCCTATTATTGAAGATTTTGTGATATTATACAGATCAATACTGTCTATGTATTTAGGAAGTGTAATTCGTTTCATTTTTTTTTTTATTATTTCAGCTTTATCAACCGCTAAACATTCGAGTTTCGCTAGTTTGGGCTGATATTTGGAGTGGCGTGGATCCAATCGCCGTCGATTTAAACTCTGATGTGACTCTGAGGAATTTTCTCACCTTCCGGAAGACTTTTAACAATATTCATCACAATGATAATGCACACCTTTTAACGTAATCTTCTACATCGTTTCATTTCCCTTTCATTAATTCAAGGGATGTTACCTTTATAATTTACTGGTTATGGTTCAAGTGTTTTCTTAGATTGTGATGTAGTAATGATAGTAATATACTATTATACATTAATGGAATGAATTTTAAGAAATCTACGGTTTGTTAACGATGTTGTTGGGAAAGCTTACAAAGGAACGATATGTTCTTTTGATTATTCTGGTGGAGTTAATATGGTGAGCTTCATTTTTGCATTCGTTATATTTCATTGCACTTGTTCTTTAACACTTCATTTAACGGAAACAGTAGTATAACAGTAAACTTCCTTTCTAGTTGAAAGCTCATAGTACTTCCATCAATGTTGTTCGAAGTGGAAATAAATTTATAAGTCATGCATTAGTTTGAAAAAACATTTTAAAATCCGGTAGGCGCATTTTTGCAATTGAGGCGCTCATTTATAGTTTTAGCTTTTTTTTTTACTTTTATTTTTGAAAGAAATATTTGTTGCTGATAATCTGATATTTGTTAGGGTTTAGATGCCGCAAGGGATTCTATATGTTGAGTTGATTTTTTGCATGTAAGTTTTTGATAATTTTTCAAAAGAATGTTTCTTGATCTAATAGTTTTTCATTTTTTGTAGCATCAATTTGCTCTTTTTGGCGTTTATAATTATTCATCATCCTTACGAATTTATCTTTCAAAATTGTTGCGTCATTTTTTTACAAAAAGCAAATAATTTTTTTCGTGTTTGGCAAATGAGTTTTAATTTATTTCCTATTTTAAACTGATGACTTGTAATAGTTGTTCTTAATGCCGCAATTGATTTTCATTCGCATATTATGTATGAAATCTGTTTGATGAAAACTACCATGTTATTTTTCTCAGTCTTTTTTATAATTAGGAATACTGAGTTGTTTTCTGCTCCATTTTGGGAGTTTTTGCGGCTTTAGATCATTCATAACCTTCCGAAGTACTGGTAAACAGTTGAACGTGAATACGGGTTGTTTTTTGGCGACAAATTGCAACAGGATTCGTTTTTCAACTTTGTTACAGAGTTAAAAAACCAGTTTTTGAATTCCTTTAAGTTTGGATGGGCAACTAGTTTCAATGATCAGTCATTTTGCTTTTTTCTCTTGTTACAGAGTTTTTTAAAAGAAGTTTTTGAACCTTCAAGATGTCAACCCGTAAAGTAGAAGCGGCGAAAACGCGTATGTTGGAAGATTGGGGGAAAAGAGAGGCTTAATAAAAAGCCTAAAATAAACTGTTTGAATTGTTTGAACCTAATATTTTATTGTTTCTCTAGTCGGTTAATATGTTATTGAAAAGTAATTTTGAGTTATTAATAACTCATTGTGTTTACGCAAGCAAGTTAGTTCTTTTGCTAGGACCATCATAGTCATGCAGCTTTTGTTGCTGCTACGGTCGCTCATGAAATGGGCCATAATTTTGGCATGGATCATGATACAAGTTCCGAAGATTGCGCTTGCCAGTCACCCGCAGGATGTATTATGGCTGCAGCATCAGGGTATCTTTTTTTTAAAATATTTTTATTTTTCGATTCGACTTCTCTTTTTGTTATGTTGTTATGAACGTGAAAAAATTTCACCTATAGTATCTTGTGAGTCACTATGCTTATTAAACAGTTTTGATTTTAATACTTTCATTTGCTTGATTTCTTTTTGTTTTTTGCAGCTTTCTTGTTCCTTCAAGCTAATAAAGATAACTTTAGCGGATACAACCCCCCTACATTCTGGTCTGAGTGCAGCTTGAAATATCTTTATAAAGGGTTTTCTCATGGGCTTGGCGACGCTTGTTTGTTTGATCAGCCAAATGAGCTTTTTGGTGGTGCACGATGCGGTAATAGTATAGTTGAAGATGGCGAACAGTGCGACTGTGGATCTACAGTGCGTTTTGGTCATTTACTTGTATCGTTTTGGTTGTAATTTTCGTTAAGTTTACGGTACCAGCATTCTTGATTCAGGTGTCGTGCAGTAACAAATGTTGTGATCCAAAAACGTGCTTACTTGTTAGTGGTGCAGAATGTGCTACTGGTGATTGTTGTGATTATGAAACTTGCAAAATTAAACCCGCATCGACTAAATGTCGTACACAAACTAATTCATGCGATTTACCTGAATATTGCGATGGCCAAACGGAGCACTGCCCAGCAGATTTTTATGTTCAAGATGGACTTCCGTGTCCGGATAGCCCCGAGGCAAGCAGAATTTTTCGGCCCTCAACGTTTTTTTTCTTTTTTTTTCTGTTTTTGTTGACAAGGCAACAGCTGGAGAACTCGGAACTAGCGTTACAATATAGGTAAGGTATTAAAATATGTTTGTTGCGGACTGTAGTGTCATCTAATGTCTTTATTTGATAGGATTTGCGTTATGATGGTGTAGATTGGCGTAGTTAATGAGAATACTAATTTTCATATTTTTTAGACGAAGTTTTTCAAATTTGCATCAAGGTTTATTCAGTCAAAGTTTTCACATCTTCATGTATGGGAACATATTTAAATTGTGTAATAAAAATCACGTCGTTTTTTGAGAATAGCAGGAAGGAGGAAGTGCTCAACTTTACTGTTTAAATGCTGTTGTTTTTGAGCAGTGACGGTAAGTGTTCTAGGAATGTATACAGTCAGAAAGAAAACCTTGATTTTGTATTTTAAATTTTTGTAATTTAACTTACGCTGCATGGATAAGTAGCTTCCTTGTGCACTTGTTTTAGGGTGAAAATATTGCCGGTAGTAGTATGACGTGCAAGCCTTCCTCAAATCAAAAATTTTTGATAAAGATTAAAAACAGTTATTTTTGACAAAAGGTCGTTAAATAAACCGCAGTAGGGAGCTAACAAAAGCCAAAATTAATCTGTGTTTTGAGGATTTAAGCAGTGACGTAAAACTGGTGATTTGGTTGTTAATTAGTGCATAATTTCTTGTGTTGTAAAATAGGTCGGTTCTCACTTTTGTACAAATAATGTTTTGTGATTAGGATGGTTCGGATTTTTTTGTATATTAATAATATTTTGTCTTTATCTTCCTTGAATTATAAAAACTTGACATGGATTATTATACATATTTTTAGGATTACTGCTACGACGGGCAGTGTGGCAACAAGGATGCTCAGTGTAAGACTATATGGGGAAAAACAGGTAGGATGGCTGATGAAGTGTGCTATCAATTGAATGTTGGCGGGACTAGTGCTGGAAATTGTGGCTACGATCATGACAAACGCATGTTCATTCCCTGCAAACCCGAGTTTGTTTTCGTTTATTGTATAATTCATCACTGTTGTATAATTTTCATTTCAGTAACGAAATAACTCAATTTATTTAGAAATAAACTTTGCGGGCGGCTACAGTGTGATCACGAAAATGAAAAGCATGAGTTGTCTGTTACGTATAGTCTTCAGCAAGCTTACTCGACAATTAGAATGTGGAATCAAAAGGATGCCATTTGTCGAGTTGTTTACACCCAATATAAAAAGGCGAAAGATCCGGGGTTGGTTTTGAGTGGTGCACCTTGTGGTGATGGGAAGGTTTGTCTCATTAATTGTAATAACGGTAAACTATTAGGTTTAACTGTAAGAGAGGAAGTAAAATAAGTCATTGAATCTTTTGGTTTTTCGAATTTGGTAGTAAACCTTTCGCTTTATTAGCGGCATGTTTTTTTTTTTCATTCTTCTAGCTTCTGCGTGTTAGTCATATGTAGTTTGAACAGTTGAAAACATTGCTGGGACTAGATATGAATTTTTGGGCTAAGGATGATTTTTCTTTAAGCTCAGGTAGTGTCAAAGGGATCGGAAGTGTTTTTATTTTTTATTTTTTTTTATTGGGTTTGTTATAACCCTCCTTCAGAAGCTCTTTTTTTTTTCTCAAGCCAGACTTTTCATCCCGCTAAGCACTAATAAGGAATTTTTAAGAATTATATTTGCCAAGCTTGCTTGAAAAACTGAGAAGTTGTTCATTGCTTTTTTTTTTTTGAAAACTTTTTAGATGTGTGTGAATTCAGAGTGCAAAAATAGGAGTGACGAGATGAAGTTGATACCAAGGTGCAAGCCAGAAAATTGTAATAACGCGGGTTTATGTAATAACATGGGTAACTGTCATTGTTTGCCCGGTTATGGTGGTGTTGATTGTGCTATTCCGGGACATGGCGGTTCAGTAAATAGTGGACCTGCGTCGGAAAAAGGCCCATTTGATGTCGGTTTCTTCGTTTTCTGGCTAATTCTGGCGGCCGTTATTTTGTTCTGCATCGCGTCATATATAGTTAAACGAAAGAAGAACATTTGGCTTCACAAAGAGTATGTTTTAATGGTATTCTGCTGAAACAATTGCACTGCGTGGTTTGCATTAGGATGGGACAAATTTTTATGGCCAAAATTCTCATTATAAGCGAATATAAAGTATTTTGCTTGAAATGAATTTGTAAGTAGCTCTTTTTTTGTTAACTTGATGTGCAGATTTAGTTTTATTTTACACTTCAAAAGCCAAGTCAGCATATCTTGACAACTTCGATTTTAGTTTTGGTTTTTTTCTAACTTATTGCTTGTATTAATAAAATCTTTAAAGTTGTTTACAACTGAAGGGTTTTCGGTTGCAGGATATGGAAGAAAGTCAGGGTAACATTTAACATACGACGTATGCTAGTTCCGATTAGGAAAGCCCCACCACCTCCTCCTGCACCTATCAGGACTGCAGAACTGAATGCAATATGGGGAGATTCACCTGATGAGTTATTGAGAAAAAAAAATCGGCCTTTTTTTGAGACTTCTCACGTCACACCATCTGGCAGTTTTTTGCCAGAGGCTGGTAGGATTAACACTGGTTTCACTCCTCGGATGTCTGCCTTGCAGGTAGCAATTTTATATTGGGTTTAAATGCACAGTAAAAGGATTTAATGTTTCTAATCTTGTGTGGGATTGCTGAAAGTTTTATTTTATTCAGCGCGTAAATCTCTCCTTTCAAGTTCTTTCAATTTTAATTGCGTGGTGTATTTCTCAGTGGAGATTTATAAGAATTATTAATTTTGATTGGCTTCCAGTTTCTCAGTTTAATAAATAGTAACTGTTTTTTTAGACGTAAGAATTTTTTGGCGAGAGGAGAGGGTAAAAGAAATGTCTTGTGAAGGGATCACTAATAATTCGAATAAAATCGTTTTGGATTAATTGAATCTAATTTTCCAAGAAAAACTTAATGTTATAAGCATCAGCTGAGGCTTGAATATTGAGTTACATTCTAAGAAGTGAATTTGCGTACCGGAGGATGAGTTTTCAAAAACTAAATGTTTTTGCAGCTGCGCGTAAGAATTCCAACATTTTTTTCTGTTTGGTTTGGTAGATAACTTAAATTTCTTTTTTTTAGTTCCAACAGTCGCTATTTTTTCATGATTTTCAGCTTATTCTTTGTTAAATTTATTTTTACAGGCTTCGGAAAAGTCTTTTGATAGCATAAACGTGGATGCATATTCTATCGGTAATGGATTTTCAAGTAAGCAGTGGAAGAATAATTCTTCACTCCGGCCACAGAGGCAGGAGAGTATGACTAGTAAGCAGCGTCCAACATTACCGCCTCCAATGCCACCACCAGAGAAGGCTCCTCCAGTACCTCCTCATGTAAAATCATTTTGCTGCATTCAGTTTAAGTTTTAGTTATTTCACACTAAACTGGCCTATATGTCAAGTCGTTCTCAGATTTGATTGAGAATTTTGATAAAAATGGTTTTCCATGCTGGGGTAATTACTCGGTATTATTTTTTCTCTGAGGTACAAGAAGCTCAAGCCTAAGTGTGCAGCTGCCAGTGCCAAATACCACATGTGACCTTTTTCGACCTATAGCGTGGTTAAGAATAGGTGGAAAAAAGGTTGAAATGGCGAATCAGGTTGCTGCCGAATTGCAAATAAACTTCGTTTGAAAATTTTAGAAAACCGATGTCAAGGGAGTTCCTGGAAGTCGGATTCCGTCGAATACTAAGCCGAAACCCGCATTACCGAAAAAACCGGTTGTGGCCTCAAAGTCCACAGTAAAAGACATAGCTGCGCGTTTCGACTCTGGTGCGGCTAGTCCTTAAAACTTATTCTACTGAGCTTATTTAAAAATTTAAGGTACGGGTTTGCCACATTAGCCAGTTGTGTCACCGTTTTCTATTAAGCGGAATACTAAATTTTTCCAGTCAATTATAAAACCCTCCTAGCAGACCGTCTCAGTTTTTGTCACTTTCCGTTTTTTAAAAAGCATTCAGATTTTTTTAAAAAATGGAGGAAAATTTTTCCCTTCGAAGATTTCATCTCTGAATTTTCAATTGTATTTAATTTTTTTGAGGATTGTCAAAAAAATTTTTTTTCTAGTGGATCTGGTTATTAATTTGTACAACGTGTTGTGTATATTATTTGTTTATTAAGTTGTAAAAAAACTTATTGTATTTAGAATTGGATTTAATTTATGTGCGGCTTGTAAAACTTGTAGGATTTTTCAAGTCGTAAAATAGTTTCAATTGTAACCATTGTCTTGCCTGATCTTTATAATTGTTTTAGGTATCTGTATGTTATCGTCCTGTCCTTGCTTTACTGAATATCTTCAGAAGTCTAACAAAATTGTGACTGTATGTCAGATTTAGTGCTCCTTTCTTTTAACTCCTGATCTGCAGTTCTGTTGAATTCATGGTGCTGTTTTATCTTTTTCACTTCTAAAATTTATCACTTCTGCTGTGAAGTTATTTGTCACAGGAGAAATAAAAAAGTAAAAAGGGAGAATGTTCATTTTTCTTTCGAAATCCTTTTTAGATGTTATTTGCTGTAAAGAAGTTTAGATAACGGTATAGTTTTAGAATTTCGGTCAGTATGGGATCGAATTTCATTGCCCGTAGTTGCTTGCTTTTTGAATGAGGTATCTTCCTTCATCTTGATTAGGTTTAGATTGTATTCTCATTGGCAATGTTGCTTTAGGTTACGGGAAAAATCACTACCATCTTCTTGTCATTCTTTTGCATCGTCGTATTCCTTATTTCCGCGTTGAATCTCTTTTTTTCAACTACTGTTGTGAATATGGTTTTCAATCCTTATTTTCATTCAACTGACTTCCAACATTAGCCTGCCTTTGTGTCTACAAGTTTTTTCTTTCTGTGTTAAGCTTTTGCGTCCGCTATTCTGGTCATTTCCCTTTCACGCTGTCGCAGATCTTTATATCCATTCAAATAATAATTGTTCAATTCCCCATTAGGGATGATAAATTTATAGACGATTCTGTTTTCACTTCTCCTCCAAAGATATTGCCATAAAAACAGTCAGAAGGCAAGTCGGCAGTAAAAGTGGGTGAGCTGGCAGCTTTTTGCAGAAAAAGGTTGTGTAATTATAAAGCGACATTCTGGAATCGGTGTCTTGGTAACCATCAGTTGCGTATTCAGTACACCAAATAGTTGTCACTTTTTAACTCCGAGTTTCCACTTTCCATGAAGTTATTTCAAAATGTATCCTAATGTTCTTCTACAAGCTAACTAGAATATTGCCAAGAAATTCCAAACGTGTCTTCCGAGTGATTTTTGGAATTGCCAGCTCCATTTTCAACTTTGAGAACATCCCCATTTGACTCAACTCTTGGATCCGACTGATTTGCCATAACTTTCCAAAACCCCGCTTTAATCCATCCATTATTACACATTTGTCGTAACCAATATGGTGCCTTCCATTCGCCCGGCTTGGTGACATTGCTTGACGCTAAACTCAGCAGTAGGGGGTAAGTCGAGTGGGGACGATGAATGGAACTGCAGCGTACAGATCAACTCAACTCTTTGCAGTCCTTGTGACGTTATCTGTACAAAGATTGGCTGTACTTTACATTTCTGTTAAGCTTGTTGTTCACACTGTTGGTGATGACCGGTACCTGCTGATCTGCGTACTCGTATCAAAAAATGACCTGGAAACATCCAAAAGCTTGGGTCGATTTTCCCCATCGCAACTTACTGGTGTACTTTGGTTGACTGTTCGACTTATGCAGCATAAATTTTAGAGGATGTCGAAAGTTTTCCTAGGAGTTTTACCTTTTATCCCGAAAGCTGCAATTTCGAAAATTAAGTCACATTTTATTGCTTGGCTGCCTGTCACCCACGGCTTCACTTAACTGTATTTGCTTCAATAGCTGGCTACCTTTGAAGCAGAACACACGGTAAAGTAAAAAAAGTAAACAGCTTAGCTACAAACAGCTTAGCTACACGGTAGCTAAACTGTTAACTTTTGTTCTGCGATGAAATTACCTGATTGTGTTTTAAGGCATAATTTGTTTCTAAACTTTGTTTTCTCAAACCAATCAATTAGTCGCAAAAATGATTAGGCAATAAAAAACTCAGTTTAAGGAGTGATGGTTTAAAATTAAAGAAACTTGCTCCTACCAGTTTCGTACAACTCTTGTTCATACATACCGTTTTCATTCGAAAAAGGGAAAATACAACTAAATCAAACACGAGACTAATGAAAAAAAAAAAAAAACAAAAACAAAAAAGTGGAAAAAGTTAGGAGGAAAAACAGTAAAAATTCAAAAATTTTTATTACGAGCCACACTCATAGAGTGAAGAAGTATACTAAACTTATTTGACTCAGATAACGCATATGAAGTCTGTACCTCAAGCTCGACAAGCGAGTATAAATTCTCAACACCTCTGCCTACCAGAAACCACTATTTTCTCTCTGGATTCTGCATCTTAACATAATGTTTCTAAAAATTAGGAACGGACGTTCCCGCCTCCACTATCAAAAGCAAGTTTTTTCACTCCAACGCCTCACCTTTTTTTTTTGGTAACTCAAAGCTGAAATGTCGTTTTTAATTTCCGTTCCCGTTTTCACCACTTCAAATTTCAATTATGCTCACTCAAACACAAACATTCTTCCTTGTCCGCAAAACTGACGCCTTTTCAATTTATTGCTCTATCATAATGCCATCTTAGAGCAAACTGTTCCAATTATATGATCGAAAATTCAACAACAACTGGTTTTTATCTGACCTGATCAAAAATATTTAACTGTTGTATAAGAGCATAAGATCCATTCAGTTGTTAGCGAGGAAATTTCTCTTCATCTGAAGTTTTTGGGGTGCAACTTCAAAAATAAATTAAAAAAAAAAA